TTGTATAATTAAGACCTAACCATTAATCGAAAAGCGATGGGAACGATGGAACCTATGAATACATAAGATTTTATTGAAAACGAATCTTAATGATTTATTGGGTGGGATGGCGAAACGAACCAAGAGACAATTCATTTATTCTGAGAGGTCGTGCGTTAACCCTACAAATGAAGTCAATATTGAAAGAGTCAATATTCGCCCGCGAAGATTTTTATATTATTGGATTTCTAAATTTTAAGCGATCTGATCTAATAATCATAAAAAATACGGATTCGTTATAACATTAAAAGAACATTATCTAAACATTATCTAAAAATAGACTAAAACTAAAAATAGAAATAATTATCTATATAAGATATACAAATAAAAAATATACAAATTTCTAATCTAATTTCTAATCTAATAAATGGATTAAGTATAGATTAGGTGAAATATCAATATCAAGGAATCCCAGGATTCAGTATATTATTCATCAACTACATGTATATTTTCTTTTTAATCATAATCATTTCATTCGCGAGGAGCTGGATGAGAAGAAACTCTCATGTCCGGTTTTGCAGTAGAGATGGAATTGCGAAACAACCATCAACTATAACCCCAAAAGAACCAGATTCCGTAAACAACATAGAGGAAGAATGAAAGGAATATCTTATCGAGGTAATCGTATTTGTTTCGGTAGATATGCTCTTCAGGCACTTGAACCCGCTTGGATTACGTCTAGGCAAATAGAAGCAGGGCGGCGGGCAATGACACGAAATGTACGCCGCGGTGGAAAAATATGGATACGTATCTTTCCCGACAAACCAGTTACCCTAAGACCCTCGGAAACACGTATGGGTTCGGGGAAAGGATCTCCCGAATATTGGGTAGCTGTCGTTAAACCGGGTAGAATGATTTATGAAATGGGCGGGGTAGCAGAAAATATAGCCAGAAAGGCTATTTCAATAGCAGCGTCCAAAATGCCTATACGAACTCAATTCATTATTTTGGGATAGGAATACAGAACTAAAAGAAAAAGGCCTTTGTTAGGAAAAAATTCGCAAGTTTCTTTTTTTTTTTTTTGGACAAACAATATTTCTTTTTTTTGCCCCTTTCCATTGAAATAACAGATTCAAAAAAGAATATGATCCAATCTCAGACCCATTTGAATGTAGCAGATAATAGCGGAGCTCGAGAATTAATGTGTATTCGAATCCTAGGAACTAGTAATCGCCGATACGCTCATATCGGCGACGTTATTATTGCTGTGATCAAGGAAGCAGTCCCCAATTCACCTCTAGAAAGATCCGAAGTGGTTAGAGCTGTAATTGTGCGTACTTCTAAAGAACTCAAACGCGACAACGGTATGATAATACGATATGATGACAACGCTGCAGTTGTGATTGATCAAGAAGGAAATCCAAAGGGAACTCGAATTTTTGGTGCAATCGCCCGGGAATTGAGACAGTTAAATTTCACTAAAATAGTTTCATTAGCACCTGAAGTATTATAGGATAAAGCATTATAAGAGCATTATAAGATATAAGATGAGATATAAACCATGATTTATAATATTTGATATTTGAATGAAATCAATTAAATTCAAATTAATTAGTAGATTGTGTTTCACGCATATACCTTTAATAAAAATGAATATTTAATAAAAAAATAAAATAATTAATTCATAAAAACATAAAAAGAAAAAAAAACGAAAACAAAGTATGTTGATTATATCAAAATTATAAGGCAACAAAAATTTTTGTTTATCATGAGTAGGGACACTATTGCTGACATAATAACCTCTATACGAAATGCGGACATGGATAGAAAAGGAACCGTTCGAATAGCATCTACTAACATCACCGAAAACATTATTAAAATACTTTTACGAGAAGGTTTTATTGAAAATGTGCGGAAACATCAGGAAGGCAAAAATTTTTTTTGGCTTTAACCCTACGCCATAGAAGAAATAGGAAAGGACCATGTAGAACTAGTCTAAATTTAAAACGCATCAGTCGCCCTGGTCTACGAATCTATTCTAACTATCAACAAATTCCGAGAATTTTAGGTGGGATGGGGATTGTAATTCTTTCTACTTCTCGGGGTATAATGACAGACCGAGAGGCTCGACTAGAAGGAATCGGTGGAGAAATCTTGTGTTATATATGGTAATCTTTTCGATATCCAAATTGTATCCAGACTTCCCTTATTTGTGAAAAAAAGAAAGAACAGATTTCTAATATCATTCCTCCTACATTAGATTAGCTAATATTTCAAGAGACTTTTAGATAAAAAAAGAACAAAAAAAAGGATTCAGAAAGGTTTAATTTCTTAATAACTTTCCAATAATATGTTACGGATTCGTTTAGATAATGAAGATCTGGTTTTAGGTTATGCCTCAGAAAAGACCCGATGTGGTTTTATACGTATACCACCAGGAGATAGAGTCAAAATAGAAGTAAGTGCTTATGATTCGACCAGAAAGCGTCTAATTTATAGACTCCCCAACATTCGTAGGTAA